ACACTAATTGTCTTCATCTGCATTTGTTTGTGTGTAAGGGATAGGAGGGCTAGGTCATCTGCGAGGTCCAAATCGTCTAATTGATTCTGAGCTGTCCATTGTATGCCGTGTTTTCCCTCAGATGTCGAGGTCTTCATAATCCAGTTGACCACCAGAACAAAGAGGAAGGGAGAGAGTAGACAGCCTTGTCTGACTCCGATCCTTACTTGGAATGCATCTGTCAGCTGTCCTCCATGCACGACCTTGTACTGTAGTCCGTCATATGAGTTCCGGATAATATTGAAAATCTTCTCAGGAACTCCGTAGTGTCGAAGAAGTTTCCATAACGTTATCCTATCTACACTGTCAAATGCTTTTTCATAATCAATGAAGTTGATGTATAGTGATGAGTTCCATTCAACTGATTGTTCGACGATGGTCCGTAGTGTCGCAATTTGGTCTATGCACGACCGATCCCTACAGAATCCAGCTTGTTGATCTCGAAGTTGGGCGTCTACTGCATCTTCCATCCGGTTCAGCAAAACTCTGTTAAAGACTTTTCCTGGTACTGACAGTAGTGTAATGCCTCTGTATTTTTCACATTTGCTCAGATCTCCTTTCTTTGGAATCTTGATGAGGTGTCCTTCTTTCCAGTCCATCGGCACTTGTTCCTCCTCCCAAATATTTTTGAATAGAAGGTGAAGCATGTTTGTATTTACTTAGATTTCTGACTTCACTGCTTCAGCTGGAATATTGCCGGGTCCTGCTGCTTTCCCGCTCTTGATTTGTGTGATAGCCATTCTGATTTCTTCCGTTGTTGGTCGATTGGCATCTACAGGAAGGTCCGTGTGCTGCTTCGATGACCGGTGGATCCAACAGAGCTGGTCTATTCAGCAGTTCCTCAAAGTGTTCTACCCATCTGTTCTTGAATCTCCGTGATTGTCTTTTTTTCTTTGTCCTTGACAGGTCTCTCTGGTTTACTACATTTCCCTGCTAGTTTCTTCACAGTTTCTTATTTCCTTCTCTTGAAGATTTTTCCGCTGTCGTTGCAAGTTATTCCACGTGTTTCTGCTTGCTGTCTTTAATGCTCTCCTTCACTTGCTTGTTTGCTTCTATGTATTCAGTTTGTACCTTGACTTTCTCTGCTCGTGTTCGGCTGTTGTTAATTGCTGTCTTCTTGTTCTTCCTTTCTTTGAACCTGTCTAGTGTTTCTATTGAGATCTGTTCCTTATGATGATGATTCTTGCGACCTAGAACCCCCTGACATGATGAAGTTAATGCTTCTTCGATACCTATCCAGTTGTCCTCCATGGTAGATTATTCCTTCAGTATATCTTGTAAGGCTTGAAACCTGTGGTTGAAAGCCATCTTGAATTCTTTGAATTTGTTAGCATCTCGAAGAAAGGCTGTATTTAACCTTTTTAGTGCTGTTTTTTCAGCTTTCCAGTTCTTCTTTAGCTTCAGTTTTAAATTGGCCACAACTAGGTGCTGATCTGAAGCTATGTCAGCTCCTCTCCTGGTTCTCACGTCTCCCAGTGTCCTTCGGAATTTTTTTATTGATACAAATATGATCTATCTGGTTCTCCGTAGTGTGGTCTGGTGAGATCCATGCAGCTTTGTGTATGCGTTTTTGTGGGAATATTGTGCCGCCTATAATCAATTTGTTGAATGCACAAAGATTTGCAAATCTTTCTCCATTTTAGTTTCTCTCTCCCAGTTCATGTCGTCCCATGATATCTTCGAATCCGGTGTTGTGCATTCAGACTTTTGCATTTGGTGTTCCTATCAGGATGGTGAGATACTTTCTTGAGCACAACACTATGATTATAATCGTTGCTATGATTAGTGGGTGCATGACATTGGATAACATTCATTGTGATCCCCTCCTTCTTTGTTTTGAATGATGCTTTGATGATTCTAGATCCATAAGATTCTCACCCTACAAATGCATTTCGTGCTTCTTTGGACAGCATTATAGCATATATTATTTGATAATAAGCGTCTGAGATTAAAACTAGGGTGTCCATTTCATAAATTCCTTTTTAGTCATTGACGGAATTATATTCGTTCATATGCATAGGTCTCTTGTTCATTTTAATGTGATTGATTACAAATGATGGAAAATATTTTACTGAATGGTTAATTATAATTCTGTAATCAGTTTAAAGGTTTTGTAGAAGCATTTTAAGTAAATAATAACTAAATGATAAATTTGGGCTTATATCACTGTGATAAATCTAAATAAGTTAAAAGTAATTTACACTGAATATCGATTGCATCAGTGCAAATAATCTATACGTATTATTGCATTGAGTCATGTGGAACTATAATTAACTAACAGTTATAAAAAACCGTTTACAAGATTGTTAAGTTTTCTGAGATTCATTATAACTAATCTCTTATTCTAAATGTGATATAAAGGTAATTTTACCTTGTTTTACCCAGAAAAAACTATTAGATAACATATATTTGTGTGATGTTAACTATCCGTTGTTCAGTATCCAATGAAAGTGGATTATACAGTATTTTCGAACATTTGTTTCTGTGTATTTTGTTGGTTAGTGTTGGACATAAGATAATGATTCTTACTAAGGACTTCATTTTAGTCATCTAAAGTTATCGATATAAATCTTCTTGGACACTCCAAACCTCTCGGATGGAGAATACAAATAAGGTAAAAGTTAGAGCTTGAAATAAGATTCTTAGTCAAGAATATGCTTTTACATGTAGCATTCCTCACTAAGTGAGCCCTAAAGTTCCCCAAAATGCTTGATATCGAGTAGAAATCGAACAATGGGAACTGGATGCTCTACAAATTCAAGGATACATATACCATCTCATATATCTGTAGTATGTCATCTTACTTTTAGGTAAATCAAACTCATGTTACAACAGCTTTGGATTTTTCCATAAACGTATTGGGAATATTAAAAACAACAAAATAACTTGCAATTGAACAAATTCCATACCCGAAATTTGTAATGAAAACGTTATTATCATTATTATTATTATTATTATTATTATTATTATTATTATTATTATTATTATTAGTGACTTGATTCAATATCATATTTTTAGTATAATATAGAATTCTCAGCACAAAGTATTTCATTGTTTCCTCTCCTTATTCCTTCATCTACTCTGAGGATAAATATTGAGTTATCACCAGTTAGTTGTTGACAGTTCAGGAATCGAAATCTGAACAATGATCATTCTTTTCAATTCATATTGACATCCAACACAATGTCTCTGATTGTACTTTTTTGTATGTTGTACGGCGAAAGATTATAAAATTTTAATAAACGTGCCTAAATAGGTTATGCGAATAAGTGCCACAGTGATGTGTTAAAACAAACGAAAGATAGGTAACCTGTTGAGATATGTTGATGTCAGAAACAGGTAGCCTACATGTTCAAGCAGGCTGCCAAGGTGATACATGTTTAGTGTTCGTGTAATTAGTAAGGTCAGTTTCCTTTTCAATGGTTCCAAAGATAAAGGACATGAATACATTAAACTAAAAATTTATAATATCTTAGCTTGCTGGGTTAAAATGACGTAAACAAGTAATTATCAGATGAAATAATCCTAAGAAGTATAAGCCTACACACATAAGATGCATATTTTTCCTCATTTATACTTCTGGAAGATAATACCAAATAACGGAATTACATATTCTGAATCCTATTCATTGTTTGCTGGAGAAGAATGATAAATCAAAGAGTACTTTTATATTGTTTGATACAACTAGTATTCACTCATATTTAAAGTTTATTAATAAATAATTTATTACCTGATGCTAGTTGGAAAGGACAAAAATCTTTTCAAGTCCTAGACAAAAAGTCTTGAACCAGTGTTTTGTGATAATGTCTTGCGGCCAGCAAAATATTTGTACATCCCTGAATGAACTACTATTTCTGTGATATAAGTAATCACATGACAAAAGTGAACGAACAAAATTTCTCCACTCTATAGGTGGAATTTACGAATGAAATAAAAAGTAATAGAACAGGATTCAACCGAAGATTGCATATATTACTTTAATACGCCTCGATATACATAAGTATAGCAAGAAATCACTGTTTTGTCTTTGATACTTAGATATATGAATTTTTATAATTTCATTTTATAAAAGGAATTGGGATATCATTGTTTATAAGTGTAGTGTGTATAAGGAGAACGGAAATATTTCCTAAATTAATTCACTAACTTACTGTCTAGTTCTTATTTCTTGATTTATTCTGACGATAAATATTGACTGATCGCCAGTTAGATGTTAGTAGTTCAGGGATCGACATCTGAATAATGTTCATTCTTTTCCATCGATATTGCCAGCCAACACGATGTCACTGAATGTACTTTTTTATAACTTGGACAGCAAAAGGCCGTAAACATATTATATACGCGCCTGAATAGGTTACGCGATTAATGAACATAATGATGTGTTAAAACAAACAAAAGAACAGATAAGTTGTTGAAATATCTAGATGTCAGGATCACGTAGCCCAGATATTCAAACAGGCTGCCACAGTTAAAGGTCAATAATAACCAATCAAGATCGAGGTCGACAGGACAAGCTTTGAGTCATAGGTGGGAAATTTGAATACTTCATTTCTATCTGAAGTTCGTGCTGATAATGTTCAGGAGAACAATCACAGCTCCACAACCTAAACATTCAGATCAGCGGATGAAACTTCATCAAGATCATCCACCTGAGGCACAAATCTTTTCCACCATCTAAACTAATTCAAACGATTGAATTATTTCAGTAATACAGAGGAAAGTACAAATCTCAGTGTATAAAGTAAATCTCTTTCATTTTTTAGTGATCGATTTTTTTTTTGCTTTCTTATCTTTTTTAACTATTGTCTCTGTTTTTCCTTTTCAGCTGTGCAACAATTTAGGTTTATTATTGAACTGGACAATTATGCATGATATAAAAACTTCAAATTATTTTAATGAAGATCAACTATCTAAGATTCATTTCACTTTTAAATTACTAACAAAATATTTTTTTTTCTTACCATTATAATCAATTTCATTGAAAACTGATTGTATTAATTCAGATTTGATTGATAAAATAGGTAAATCTAATTCATCAAAAATATATTCTGTATAAAGTTTATTATAAATTAAATCATTCCATAATTCTTTAGATATCATAGATTTAGTATAATATTTTTCATTTAATGATTCTATATCAAATACATTTTTTAATATACGACGAAATTCATATAAAAGTATAAGTTTCATTCTTTCATAAGCTAAATCTAATATTAAATGTGTAAATTGTTCAGTTAAATTAATAATTTTAGTTAAATTTGTTGAATATGTTAATTGATTTAACCATTTTGTTAAAATAATTTGATTTGATTTAATTAATTTATGAATATTTATAAAAGTTTTATTTTTTAAATGAAATGGCGGATTTTTGTATAAATGAATTTTATTGAATTTTGAATATTGTAAAGATTCTTGTTTAAATCTATGAAATTTATGAAATTGTTTTAATTTTTGTTGAATTTGATTTGAATTTGTAATTTTTTTAATTATTTGATTTTGTTTTCGTTTATGAATATTAGATAACCATTTTTTATGATTTTTTGAATAAAGATTAACTGAAAATAGATGTATATTTTAAAAATAATGATAAATATAGTGAAATAATAATACTGATAATAAATAAACAGTAATAATCTCTAATTGCTCCGAAAGATTCTTCTCAAATGATATGGAGTTTATTTCTAGAAATAGAAATGTCAGTTAACATCTATTGGAGATTCAGTGATTTGCTTGGTACTATTCAGAAATGTAATTAACAACATCACTTACAAACCACTTTGAAATTATCAATTTGTGAAAATCAACAGTAACATAATTATTACGTTTTATGACAAACATTACGTTTTTGTATATAAGGGATAAAATTCATGTAGTATAATGTCGTTTCAACTATATTTTCATTGTAAAATATTTGACCAAATAATATTTTTATTTATTATTTTTAACACATAGATATTGGTACGAGGAGGCACCGAATACATATGCGTCACACAAGTCACTCGATTTGTGTGTGGGCTGTAATACTGTCCGGGTGCCCGGACCGAAGCAGGTGGTTTCCTTAGATGGCCATACTCTGAGCCTTCAACCTGAAGGTCTGATCCACAAGGCAGTGGAGCTACGTAAAGAGATGCATTCCCATGGTAGCCGGTGACCAACGATTGGTTCATACGCCATTTGTTCCCGCAGGATACTGGAGCCCATGTGCACCATTGGTTTGGAATCAGGGTTTTCCAACTTCTGTAAGTGCATGCTCTCTGTCCATCAACCCGGTTAAAACACCTACATTCGCTTTTCGTCCTCTCAATTTCGTAAACAACACCCGTGGCGCGAGAATGCGATGAGTAGGATTTCCCTGCCAGAGGCTATATACCGTGGCCATGTGAGAGCATTTCGAGAGGGTTGGCGGACTCTCCCCACTCTCGGCCGTACCAGGGCATTTGGGGGCAAGATAATTTTAGTTTCATAGTTTGAAAAATTCATCTCTGTTAGACGGCCAACCGATTTGCATATAAAAAATATTTATCTGGAAGTTCAACTTGTACTTTCGCCTAGTGTCCTCGAGTTAGTGGACGATTTTTTTACCATGAGCTAACACAAACCTCACGGTGGTGATCGGACTAATCTCCAACTCTGTCTTAATATTGGCCCACAGAAAAGGGGAGTAATGTTGAGATATATATGCGAAGTTATGGGGCAGAGATAATTTACTTTTGGTCTTTGTCCAGATTTTCTCCAGATAGAACCATTAGGTTTAGCGAGGGTGGGTAAGAGCTTGGACCATAATCTGTGCCGTGACTGGTGCACAGGGGTCAATACCTTACTTGTTTGTGGCATGAGCGTAAGGGAGCATATCGTCCATGATAACTTGACAAACTGATTGAAATATTTGATATTCATTCAGTGTTAAAAGCAGCCGCGCTACGAACTGGGTTGGTTTCATATATACGATGACGTATATCGGTCTCGGCTCGTGCTATCTTTATATGAGTGTAACGTATAACTATGAGCAGAAGCTTCTATACACATGTGTACCCATGGAATATGTAAACTTATCTATACATTCTATGATTCCATGTAGTGCATACTGGTGACCGTGCCCATCTATGTGTGTATCACTGGACTATACGCATCCCTGATAAGTGCATTTTAACATATACAGCGTACTTGGGAGAGAGTTCCTTGTTCTTCACTGGCGTATCCATTAGTAGCTCAGAAGCGCTTACTATGTGCATACAAGTTTCCAAATATGGTAGGAAAATGCAAATGTATCACGGATAAACTGTACGGTTTCCGTCTGCTCCACCCACAGCAGACCGGATTGAACCCATCTGCCGTACGTACATATAACTGGTCTGTAGTGAATCTGTCTGTATGCATATAAAAAACAGACTGTACACATATCCGTCTGTTTTAATAGCATGATTGAATTAAAAGATACTATTCTGTATTTTAACTGTTTTCTTTACAGCTTCACATTTCTTTACAAAGGCCCTTTTCTTTGCACTTCGAAAAGCCAATCGGCCTTCCTTGTTACTGGAACGAGACAATGATAACAATAATAATCTGAATGATAATTATTTCTAATCCTATATCTTTTATACGATGATCCAAAAATATTTGAAGAATAGAATCACTGAATATTCGCATTCTTTAATCAACTACTCAACTGATTTTAAATGACGAAAAATCAAACAAAAGTAATTGATAGCATCCAATAAGCATAACCCCGTTTCCAGGAAGCGAGATAGATGGTTCTCATCTACCGAAAGGGGAGTTATGTAATTCACAAATTAATCTGCGCTTGTCACAAATTTTTTGACACAAATGTCATAGAAATATTCAACAGGTTTGTATTCGACTATAATAAATCATTACGAATACGATAATGATGATAATAACAGACGAAATTTGATCTAGTTTTTGTTGTATATCTCTATTTTTGTTAATATATGGTTTTGGAAATTCCGTACTTCACATTTAATTTATCAGAACAACCAATTTGTTTAATTTCTAGTTTTATACGTCAGTTATTGTTCCAAACCTATGACTGATGTTGTAAACGTTACCGATTTGTCAGTTTAAACAAATGGTACGATATCATACTAGAGACACAAAACTTTATTCAAAATAATTTATTGAAAATAAGAAAATATAGTAATTAACTAGCTCTGTGATAGTTAACAGTTATATTCATTTGTAAAATGTAGTGCAATTAAAAATAGACTACAGCCTTTTGGGTACTCAGTAATAATCTAATAATTTTTAATATTGTTTTTCTAAGAGAACAGTTGATGATCCGTAGTTGGTGCGGAATAACTGTAATAAGCAACCTATTTGTCCACGTGTATTGACTAAATTAACTAGTTGAGTTAAAATTTGAATTTAGTAACTTGGAAACATTCAATAAGCGAAAATCATCATAGTCATATATATAAGCTGACTTGGTTTTATTTGGAGTTTCCAGTATTTTGGAGTTGTCTTTCAACATAAACTGTTATCATTTGAAGGTGCATCTAAAAACAGAATATTAGACAGCTTTCTCGCAATAGTTAATGTCTCCGCAGATGTGAATAATCAGGATCTTAAACAAGAACATATGTATAACACTCTAGCGTAGTGCTGAGATCACTTCCATTAATATAAATTTTGTTCATACTAACAGCTTTCGAAATAGATTTCCCGAGTTTTAAATGAAAACTAATTAGGTGGATTGGTAGTTCACTTAATATATTACATGTAGACCACGTTTCGTCCCAAATGAAGTCATAAAAATGGACTAGTAGTCTCTTGAAATCCATTGAAGCATCTTGCTATCAACGGTTAGACTTTGAGTGAAGTCACGCAAGCACACATTTAACAGGTCTTAATTGGTGAAAACTTATTCCTCCTTATAATAGTTAACTATGTCTAATTCTCAATCCTTCAATGACCGTAAAAATGCGATATCTTAAACAAGCAACTCACAAATACATATCCTGGCAATATGCACATAATTTCATAACTTATTGCTCTATCAAACCGTTATCCAAACCACAAATACAAATTTAAAAAAACTTATTTCTAACTCGGTTACTTAGTCGTCAACAACTCTAAAATAATAATTTATAGAGAACTTACTGGTTGGCTTATTACAACAATTATTTAGTTTGTGTATATAATCAAAATACTCATCCAAATGACATGATTTTAAGTCATCACTATAGGTATTCCAACATAAATGATAGTCATGATAATTATGATGGGATTGATAGAAGATACAGTGGAGAAAATCCAAGTAAGTTGGTAATACATTTTGCATAAACAATGGAGTTCTATTATTGTTTTTGAACCCGGAAATACCAACCATTAAACCGGTATTCGAAGAAAAAATATAAAGTATTAACATCAAATATATTAAAAATAAGTTAGTAGACTGATATTCAAAAGAACGACGTATTTTTGTCATGGATTAATTAAAGAAAACAATTATTTGATACTTCAATTACTGTAATACACCTTGTTAATTATTGTCCAGTTTTTACGTTGAAAACTGAATTTGAATTAATGATAATCTTAAATTTTAAGACATGGCAGTTTCAAATGAACGGTTGTCCTTTTTGAAACATTCCTACGGATAAAAAAAGGAAAGTTTAAAAAAATATCGTAATTCAATATTGAGCATTCAACCTCACAAAATAAAAAGGTTTAGAAAACACAAAATAAATTGAATTGCTGTTTATAATATTTAAGATAGTATACAACTTTAGTACGAACGCTATTCTTATTTTATTCAATCGCTGTTTACCAGACTTAAAGTTTTAAGCTTTAATCACAAGTAAGAAGTTATGATTGACATAAGTGCTAAGAAACTAATATTCTGTACAAAAAAGCTGTTCACTACGTTTCATCTCAACAATTCATATCTAGTAAATTATATACATATGATCACCAGAGCTGAAGGAAAATGTGATCAGTAATAAGGTTTCAACTAACAGACCATATATCATTAAAATGATAGCACTGTACAAACTTAATGAAGTTATAGAATAATGAAAAAAATGAAATTTTTCTACATTATATGATCAATAGATTAAAGATGTTGGAAACAAAAGTAAAGTCAAGGGTTAGAATACTAGCTAAATTTCACAGTAATCTGAAGTTAATTTCTCTGAATTCACTTGCGGAGTAAAAATTCAACTGCACTTTATTCATTGTTCTCAGCCTACAAATTGAAGTCATTTTATCCATTATAACATAATGAATAATTCATTGCTATGAGGTTGTGAAAATTGTTGAGTTTAGATTGACATAATTAATAGATCAATGTTAGACCACCATTGAAAACCTGGAAGCACTGAACGGCCGTTTCATCCTAGTATGGGACTCCTCAGCAGGGTGCATCCACGATCCTGCACGCCGAACTCGAACCTAGGTTCTTCTGTTTCGCGCTTAACGTGTAGACCACTGAGCCGGTATCCAACGGTACGAATGTCTAACTTCAACTAGTCAACGATTTGTTTCTAATTTTGACATGGATTTGAGCTATAGTACGACGGGTTAGATTATAATTTACCATATTCTCTCATATCTACTGATTAATGTTTACAACTATAAAAATATATAATAAAATTAATCATTTGTATAAAACTGCACAAGTGTGACATTAATCAAGATGGGAAATTCTGTCTTTGACATTCATGAATATATAGTATAACAGTGATACATAAATGACTTATCTCTTGGTCAAATCATTTATTTCACACAATCGTAAATGATTCGATAACCTTAGAAATAATAAAATATATCAGTAACCTCGATTTCTAGTTTCTCATATATTCCATAATATAGAAGTTCATGTGTAGGGCCAAACTGGTTACCAAGAGTTTACCTTCATTGATGATATAATTATAGTCAAATTTCATCTTCCATCAACAGTGTTTTAGGTAATAGAAATAAGAAAATGTAGGATACAGTCAATTTGTATTTTTCAGTTAATAATTTTGACGATCGAATATCGTACGTTAAAATATTTTTATAATTATTATTATGGTATATAACCTTACATTTGCTTTGATTTGGTTTGAAGATAAGTATACCTTTGTATCTTAGGGAATGATTATTTTAAAATTTGTACTTTTCTATCATTTGTTATGATAAACCAGTGAATTTGATTGCACTCCAAGTTATCAATATATCAACTCCTTCTGTAGCTCTTCCAGGGTTACTGCCTATCCTAAGCCATAGTAAAGTTGAAGAGTCGGGCATGGGGTCAGCAACCCCATCCTGTAGAAAACAACCTTGCCAAATAAATTCTAATCATAAAAAGCAAACGTTTTATGTAATCCGGAAAAATTTGAATTCGTTTTGTAGTTAAGGTTACGGTAACTGTTCAGTTTCTTAATCAGAACTAGACAACTACTTATTAACTTGTAAACATGTGATTCAAAGGCCAACATCAGGAGATTTGAGATTTACTTTTGTCATGTAAGTGATTCTGCGGTGGATGAGATAATGTATTTTAAACTATCATTTTATTATTTTCATTGCATACTTAGGAAGGTACCCATTATTATGACCACATCGGTATTATAAAATTTGGTATGTGTTAGTATGTGTTTTAAAAAAAATATATCTTCCTATCTCGGTCAACTTACAATATTGTTCCGGATAAACTCTAAAATATCATATTTTAAACATTTAGCTCAAATTACTCTTGACTACTGAACAAACTGATTAAAATACTGTTCGTCGGAATGAAGATAATTTATTGGATAGTGGGGCACTGGTTAAAAGAAACTGTATCCTAGAACCTCTCGATTTAATATACTGTTTATTGATGTGGTTTTGTAGGGGTTTCATAAATTTTTAACGTGGTTTATGTTGTTTGCTAAAATTCTTTGATGAACAACCGAAATCTAATGAGCATTTGACAAGTGTTTTATTTTAGTTCAAAAGTTCGCATCAGTCTACAAATACGATCCCATACAAGCAAGAGTATAGAATGACTAGATCTTAACAATAGTGTAATAACTTGAAACCACATAGTTGAAATCTAATGCTTAATATCGTTAGATCAAAGAAGTTTGTCACAACTGAGTTGCTAAGTGCATAGAATAAGGTTATCCAAATTATTAACTCCTCAGCAGAGGATTATCATTTCTTGTGATAGTTTTCTTGAGAATTTTCAAATAGTTTGAAAGCAATTTTCATCATTAACTAATATTAATTGAATAAAGATAGAACTATTTACTTCTTCTATATTTTGAACAAAAAATATTTTGTTCAATTTTAATATGCAATGAAAATGGACTTAATATTACATAATCTAGAATTCTGATATAAGAGTTACAACAAAGTTATTATAAAAGGAATTATTATCACTAATTAAAATAGATGTCATTCTTACATCCGGTAACATATATTTTCATCACATCAATAATAATAACTAATAAAAAAATATAAAGCTAGTTTAGGTAATATTAATAAAATCAATAATATTCCAGCTAACTTTACAATGATCAAGTTGGTTTCAATACAAATAAAGGCTTATTTTCTAATCCTTATGGTTTAAAAAAAAAGTATTGAGCTTCTAGAAAAGAACATTATTGAACCAATATAGGTTTTCAATGATGGTCTAGCTTCAATGGACTCATGATTTCAAACTGTTTAAATTACTACAATCTACACAAAACCCCTTCGAATAAAATATAAATTGTTGAAATCATTATAAATTGTTTTCGTGCTTTTATTTTCTCAAAAAATCATAAGCATATTAATAATTAGAGAATTAACCTCTGTTTAGATTAATGTACATATATATGAATTAATTACAAAATAAAATTATTTAAGTGAATTTTTCTGAGCTTATTTATAATTGAAATATTTTTCATGAAAACACTTTTTTTTCATACATCAAGACCCACCTACTAACTTAATTAATGAGATAGAAACCATTGATTCATTTGCGTGAGAATAAATATTAATTTATATATATATATATAATGGAAATATTTGTATTCGGTCCTCTCTTAAAAAGTGGTTATAAAAACATAATTCGAGATCTACTGAAGCATATCTATAAGGTTGCTTAAAAAACATCTTATTAATTTTTTGTGTTGTTACTAATATTTTTACTACTTAAAATCATAACAATCTTTATAGGGAATAAATAAAAATGATCATAGAACATGTCTCAATGTGCGTTTTTTTTCATGTTTGTTTAGTTATTACAACGAAATCAAACAGGAAGATCATTTTATGATGGTATCAAATTAAAAGCTGTGTAGGATTTATTTTCAACATTTTCTAAATGAATCTTATATACTTAGAATTAAAAATGAAAATGATAGTTGAAAAAGAAAACGAACTTTATCAGAAAAAAGCTCTTTCTTATTCATTATCATAGTCAGGTACATATTCAGTCTTTATATTAGTACTTATGGTTTGTAGTGTAAGTGATCTTCACAAATCATTCAAATGAACAATTTGTATACGCTCATTAATAAGTAGCCTCATGATGAATCATAGTGAAACATGCTAACTAGTGAATTTCAATTATACAATGAATACCATGGATATCATTCGATGATCATTGGTAGATATCACAATAAAGCCGGTATAAAAAAATATGGACTATTAGATTTCGTCACTGGCCAAAGAATAACGTGATTGCTACGAAATATAATCTTACTAAGTTTAATATTAACCAAAGTTACAAGTGTCCGATTCTCTATTCTTTTATGATTTTCAATTGATTCACCATCCTATTTTGATCTGTAACAAAAACCACATTCTAATGAATTCTACATTCATAAAGTATTCAAATAAATGAATATCTGTTATGTTTTAGTAATTTAGTCACTATAATTTAACATACAAAATTGTCTATAAAAGTGGATAATTATGAAAGTTATCCTAGAATTAAGATTAATAGGTTTATTATACTGTTTATCGGTTAAATTTAGAACTAACTACTATGAAGCTGACAAGTTTCATATGAGAGTCAAAAAAGACTAACAAAGTAGTTAAGGATTAACAACAATTACGTAAAAACAGATTACAGACATATGGAACTTAAATCGGTCATATTATTTTCAATAATTTGACAACTACAAAAAATTACAGTGATTCTATTTACAGAATTTGTGAATCGGTATGTTTTGCTGATCCTTTGAACTATAGTAATATGATTGGATTTTTGAAAAGCAGTTATGCTGTGAATAGTTTATTGTTCTCTAGTTCAAAGTGTTAGTTCAATACTATCACGTTTGTTTGCCGCTAGAATTCTGAGTTATTTAAAAATAAAACATTTTATATCTCCTACTGAATTGTTGTGAATAGTCTCTTGAAAGCTCTAGAATTAGGTTTTATGATGGTTTTTGAACACCATTAAAACGCAAAATAATTACTGAGAAAATCTGTCTCTATAGAGAAAACATTACTTTTTCCAGTCAGAATTTTCACTTTGAAGAAATTATGAACTTGATTAAACACTTGTAGGGCTGAATTATTTTATAAAAGAGTATTTATTCTTTTACATCTCTGATTTTAAATAGAAAGTTTCCTATGATCTATTGTATGAATTGCTATTTAATGGGCTTTAAAAAGTTTAACTTTTCAGTGCAAGTATG